CGCCGTGATCCCCCCCAGGCTGAGGAGCAGGAAGTAGTCCATAAAGCTGTGCCCTGCCTGTCTGAATTACACCACTCATAAAGCAGTAATAGGGAGACAATCAGCGCAGTCCATCTATAAGCCCCTGCAGACTATTTACCGTTTTATGTGGGTGTAAATTTGACAGGTACCAAGGATAATGAAAACCCCGGCCCCCCTTTCAGCTCTCTGGGCCAGAGCGAGAGGCAGAAGATGCGCCTTGAGTTACGGAGGGGCGGCAGGGGGGGGTTGTAAGAGGTGCATGCCAAGCGCAGGATGTCCAAACTATCGACGCGGGGGTTGCAGGAAAAGGCCCCGGGATCCGGCTGGGGTTGATACCGTTCCGCAGGGCATTCAGGCTATTAGCCTGATTTGTTAAGAATTCCAGTTAGAGACGCCCTGTTTAATGTCCGCAGAGGGTCTCATTTGCGTGGAGTGTTTGTGTTAAAAAATAACAACTCACCACTACCGTTGTGTGACATGGAAACATCTTGAGAAAATACACAGCTGAATCAACTGGCCATTTCGCAATACACAAGGCCTTCTGGCTACTGATAAAGTCACTATTGTACCTTTAAAGGCTCTCCTTTGACAGTGTCTATAACTACCATCCGACTGCACGTGTACCTGGGTATATCTGGGTATATCTGGGTATACAAAACAGCCTCTTTACTGTGTCCTTTTTAGGGATTTTGTCAGAACAGATCAAGCAGCGAAAGGTCAACTGGGCTCATTTTCAGTCATAATTTTGATTTATTTTTCTGCTAACAGCAGCGACTAGCTACTATGATTATGAAGTTCACAGACGAAGGGGGTTATTGAGCAAGTAACTCCAGCGATTAGTACTGTACTCCTGGTACATGATCCGGCCCCAGGATGACCAGTTCTGGTGACATCAGTCTCCCACCACACACACACACACACACACACACACACACACACACACACACAGACACAGACACAGACACAGACACAGACACAGACACACACACACACAGGACAGCTTAATTCACGCCATTCTGGTAATCGTGAAACCTACGGAGTGTGAACTTATTTTCATTGACATCAGAAACAGGTAAAAGGGACAGTAAATGGTCACCCAAAACAACCACATGCTGCCTGCAACGCATGAAGGGACAACAGTTTGCATACATTTGCAAACTAGCATCAGTTAAAGGATAACTATGTTAACAGATACATTCAGATGATTGACAACGCAGGTCAATGGGGCCTCTGTGGCAGTGCGGCGTGGTGCTTTCACTGTTACGGGATCATCTCCAGGGCTGTGGGACCAGTTTGTGCTTCATCTTCTCCCACTGATTCCTCGTGCAGTGGAAAGGTTTACGTGAATGACAGGTGTGTATGTGTACCCTGTGATGGACTGGCGTCCCACCTGAGCTGCTTTCAGGGAGGAGCTCACCCCGGCCCTGTAATGGACGTGTGGTTTTATATACGTACGCGCACAGTTCTCTCCTTTGTTTACGACTTCACATCACAGCTGTTCTTTGAACAAAGCCTCGTCTTTGTCTTTCCCTGCATCATTAGCAGCCACTTAGTATGCAGAAGGTGTTTAAGAAGGAACAGCCCAAAAGAGAGGGGAAAAAAAAACAGGAGAAAAGCACACGGGAAGTTGGCGCCAATGTGGGCAGCACCGCCATTAAAGCGCCGATTGCTGTTATTATGGTCCTAATGACATCCGGCAAAGGGGGCCTGCTGGGCGGAGCGGCCGCTGTGGTCTGCAGGCGCACGCCGCATCATCAGAGCCCATCAATTTTGCATGTCTCCTTCTCTGCCCCCCCCCAAACCCCTTTTCAAAAAATTCCGAAACCCTTAAGAAAACGTCTTTCACGGTTCAGCGGTCCCGCCATGGTTCCTTGCTGCCTGGGGCACAGGAGCGGGTAAATTGATAGTTCGTTTTGAAACAAATTGGAACCCCGCCCCTCGGTGAATTAATAATCCAGAGGCCGCTTCCCCCCCCCCCATTTCATTGGAGTATGTGGGTATACATGGCTACAAGGCCTGCACTAACACGTCAAGCGGGACCGCAGACACAGACCGCCTGGATTAGTAGAGACCAAGTCACTGAGTGCCCAGCATCACGCATCCACTGGACTGACGGGGGGGGGGACGGGACACAAAGTCACGGCAGCTCAGGAGTCACGACTATAAAAACAACAACAGTGACTTAACAGATACCTGCATGTTTTTATGGCACTTTGAAAACGATTTACTGCAAATATAAAATCAGCAAGCAACCTGCATGTAGTGTGTGTAGGATTATTTGGGGGGGGATGGCTACAGTAGCAGGGTTACATATGAGTGATGATTGAGAGTTTATGTTGGGGGGGAGCACGGTTTTAGTGGTGGAATGTGTTTCATTGATTTTTTATTTTTTAGATTATTTCTGCTTAGCAAGAAAGTTATGGGACCTATTTATACAGCTGACAGCAGCGACCTGCTCCTCACACGAACGTCCCACATCAGACGCGGCCTGAGCACCTTCAGATGACTAACCCCTTATTAAATATACTTTCAAGTCATCTGGGGCGTGCAAGGTACTTCTGACCCAGTCGATTGCAGATCTTCAGGAAAACAGCCCAAACTTTCACAACTATAAAGTTTATTAGCAATTTAACATGTACAAAGTATCTAAATACTGACTCTTAGGTGCTGTTTAGCATCTTGGGTACAACAGAGCAGGCGTATTGTACTGCCATCAAAAACAAAATGCAGAGGACTCTGGGAAACACAGGATTTTAAATGTATCGACACAAACAAAGATGTTTTCATCAAAGGTCAAAAAAAAAGATCAAACTAAAAGGGGCAGGTGTACACTGCAAGATCATAAACAGTGCAGAAGGTTAAGGAATGAAGGCAAAAACAGAAAGATACACAGTGTCATTCACATTCTGTGATCACAGCCATTTTGGTTTACCTGCACACTTCCCGGTAAAAGTCATCAGTGCTTTAACCTTATAACAGGTTATAACACTGCAGAATGGAGGATGGAATCACTTCTGAGATTCCGGGAAAAAGTAAAGCGTTTGACAACCGAACTCAAGGACAGCATTTAGCCGGAGGTATAAGACGCATGCCACGGCGGCGGGCTTGGGCACCGCGAACCATGAGGTACCTGCTCTAGCTGCCCCCACTACCGAATTCTACCGTACGATTCCTGGAAAAGGAATGTATGTACAAAATAGATTTATTATCCCCCCACCACTAACATGACATTTAAACCAAGCTAATTCCGAGATACGCAGCATCCCTGCAAGACGGCCTACACAAGGAGCAGCTGAAGGTGAACGCAGATTTGCCGGAGCTCGTCGGTGATTCTGACGATACACCGGTTACCGCTAACAGACGGCGGCTGGCTCTGATGACCTCATATTCTCTTTACAAAACCCTGACTACAAGGAGCACACGGAGCTGATGTCTCTTTTTATGAATATATAGAAAGTTTCATGTTGAGGTAACGGCTGTTCAGTTTGGAATTTCCTGCTCTGCAACCTCTTCTTTGACTGAATCTTCCTCTTCCTCGCGCCCATCTTCCTCATCCTGCAAAAAACGGAAAGCCCCACTGTAACCATCAGAAATGAACATAGCCAAGAGAAAATCATAACACACAGACTGGAAGCGGGAGGAGCCGGCAGTGACTGACAAACTCGTCTGACGCATCTCTGGCTTCAGAAACCGTAGCAGCCCGGTAGCCTTGGCACGAGCGACCGCAAACGCACGGAAAAACCGTAAAGCTTCCTGCTTGAACGACGGGCACCGAACAACGAACCCTACACACTCACTGTTACCTCACTCCTGATCTCGTCCAGATCACGCCGATGACAGGCTCCACACCCTGGCAGAGGACCAGAGGACCCTGCCTCACACAGCTGGGACTGAAGTGCAGCTGCCTATATTGTACCAGAGCATCCCAACAAAATGGGCCTGACTGACGAAATTACATCCTCCGTTGAGAAGTTAAATGCCTCCACCCTACACCATGTGAATCCCGAAGATGGAAATGGCCTGCTCCCCCCATATTATCCATAGCAAACTGACCCCCCCCCCTCCCCAGCCCAACCTGGGGCTCTGGTAACAATGAAGGAATTCTTCCAGGTATTTAAAAGGATTATGACTCTTAAATCAGGTTAAAATGAGTAGTGTTCATTTACTCAGCGTTTTTCTTCTCTAAGCCCCCCCCCACACACCCCCCCACACCAAGCCTTTGTGTCCAAATGACTTTTGATAAGTGGCTCTCTGGTGAAAAATGTTTCACTTTTTCCTGAACCCTGGGTACCTTCCCTCCGCCGGCCGATAGCGGCACATAAATTTTAGGGGGGGGGGGAGGGGGCGACATTCCATGAACCCGGCTGCTGCATCGCCCGTGCCATCCACCAAATCTTTCTGACAAGCCTGCCAATTTTCCAATTACTTGTGGCCCCATACGTTATCCGAGGCCCAGTCAGCTCTTAAATGGGGAACAAGAGAGGGGGCCGGACCGGCGCATGCTAACAAGCTCATAAAGCCCGAGGAGGGGGGGGTCTTTTTCTCCCCCCCGACCTCTGATTTACCACCCCACCCCCAGAGACGAGGTGACACCATAGGCCGTCGGGCCGCCTGCCTGTTTGCCATCTTTCACCGTGCCTGGTGGGGGGGGGCTTGTTCTCAGTCCTGAAATATGACAGGCAGTGGGAGTGGCCGACGGCTTGGTGCACCAGTGTATATCCAATTCACAGCGAAAGCAAACACTTAAAGAAATTCATATCTACAGGAGAGAAAAAAATCTAATCTTCATCTGCTTTCATGTGCCTGCTGTTCTACCTTCCGGAAAGTGCCAATCCCCCCGGTAAGATTGCTTTCCATTAGAAGCAAAGATCCATTCATTGCACTGTCAGACTCGGGCTGTGGGGGGGGGGGGCAGGGGTTGTAATAAAACTACTGTTCAGCAAACTTTGGACTTAAGGATACATCTGAAATGCTAAAAATCCCAACATGCCATATTAATCATAACACTTTCAGCCTCATCTTGCAATCCTTCTGCGCTTTTGAGGGACGCCTACAGCTGAAGATCTTCCCACCAACAATTCCAGACTCATGGATCAAAGGTTACATAAAAGGACACCCTCTGACCTGGAAACTGGAGTACTTTAAATATTGTATTTTAATATAAAATTTGACACTGTGGAACAGGTTAAAAAATGGTAAAATCAGGAAGAATACATTTCAGCGCTGACTGTTTACTGTGTTTCTCCAACACAAAACCAGGTAGGCCTGCCTCCGCCTCCAGAACCGATCCAAGGCTTGAGAACTGGTGCATGCAGAGAAGCCATTGTACATGTCACTGGTGCACTGAGTCATTATTTTTCCACTTGTGGCCTTTCTGTTGGCTTTAACGAGTCTGGCCATTCTCCCCTGACCTGTCTCATTAATAAGGTGCCACAGAACTGCTTATGTATTATGTATTTTAATCACACCACACTCTAAACTAGACTGCAGGATGTGAAAATCCTCGGATGGTGACTGTTTCCACCACAAAGGGCATGAACAACCAAACCACATTTAAAATCACTCTGATCAGGTGTCTAAGCTGTTCTAATGCTTACCGGCACTGTAAATGACCCTCTCGCCCCTGAGCTGTAAATGACCCTCCCGCCCCTGGCTGAGCTGTAAATGACCCTCCCGCCCCTGCCCGCGCGCTGTAAATGACCCTCGCGCCCCTGGCTGCGCTGTAAATGACCCTCTCGCCCCTGCCCACGCGCTGTAAATGACCCTCTCGCCCCTGGCCACGCGCTGTAAATGACCCTCTCGCCCCTGTCCCCGTGCTGTAAATGACCCTCTCGCCCCTGGCCACGCGCTGTAAATGACCCTCTCGCCCCTGGCCACGCGCTGTAAATGACCCTCTCGTCCCTGCCCCCGCGCTGTAAATGACCCTCTCGCCCCTGCCACATGATTTGCTTGCGTTAAAAAGCATGTATGTCTAATAAACTGGTTCATCGGCGTATTAAATTCTAGCAGCTTCTGTTAATTGGATAGCCAAAAGAGTGAACAGGCTAGTTTTAAAAGTGGATTAAGTAAGAAGCACCATCTGATTTATTTTTATATAGCGCCTTTCACAATGGTCGCCACAAGGCGATTTACAATGGGTGTGTTGTGATACATTCCTAAACAATTTATACAGGTTTTTTTTTTTATTTCATTACCTTTCTCTCTGACCAGAGAAGCAAATAACTTACATGTTTGATCTTGTCTCTGTGTGGGAATTAAGGTCAGGCACAAAACCAAATGTCACAGACAGTGGTGTTTTGGGTTGGAAGCAGCCAATGGTTACCAGACATGAACTAAACCAGTAAAAACTTCACTCTCATTTGAAGTTGACAAACACTGGGACACATTTTTGGACTGCAGGAAGAGTCTGGAACACTTGCTGGAAAGTGGTTCCACATTGGGCGGAGCGGGGCAACACCCGAACCTTAACCCCGGAGAACCTTAACCCCGGAGAACCTTAACCCCGGAGCTGTACGGTGGCAGCACTAATCACCATGGCGCCCACGGACATATATGAGATTTTGATTCACTTTTGCGTGCATGTAAATCCAGGGCAGTTTAATGACCATTTTCTCCAGCTGCACTTTCATAAAAATGATACATATTGCTTTTTGTTCCTATAAGACAGAGGTATTTTTTTAAAGATGCATCAGCTTGACAATGGTCCATACCATAACAAGAAAAAGTGTGTGGGTATGCACTGGATTCTGCGGAACTGAGATTATAACAGCACTCTGACATTAAATGAATTTACTTTATTTCAAGTAAAAAGGAAAAATATAAAGTGAAATACGCCCCCTTCTGGATGGGGAACCAGCGTTCCCAGCAAGCTTAGAAGGTTGGGGATCACCGCGGGCAGCGGGACCATCGGTCCCATCCCTCAAAGAGCTCACTTCCTCTTTTTTTCCCTCCCCCCCCCATGGAAGGAAAGGGGAACATCACGGATCCACAGATCGCTGTTCCTCTGACAGGCTCTGACAGACTGACATTTCCTTTATGAAGTATTCCACGATCCCCCTCCCCCCCGCCCATCCAGCTCCCACCACCCCCACCCGCCCGCTTGCACCCACCTCAGGGGAGACGTGGAGAAGCTGACAGGCCTCCCCTTTGTGGGATATCTCCATTGCTTTCCTCATGGGAGGACGATGCTCTCACAATGCGACGTCTACACGGCGTGTCCCGCGGCGATCGCGCACAAATGTATGCTAATGAAACGCCGCATTTTCATTCTGATTGCATTTAGATTTATAAGGGCAAGGGGGCTTCACTGCTTGCTGCTACACCCATGTGAGGCTGCAGAACAAGATCAGGAATTGAACCCTAGGTGGCAACAAAAGCCTATCGAGCAGTAATGTGTTTTAGGCCGAGATCCTGCTGCTTCTGGCAATTCAATCGCTCCAAAAACGACTACAACAAATCCTCCTCCTCCTTCCCTCCCCCCTGACTTTCTACTCAGTCAGTTTCCACACAGTCAACTCTATAAAGTGGGATTAAAATGAGACTACAAACAATTAAAATTTGGAATGGTGCTTTTATTTTTAATAAGCTTTCGCATTCTTTATCAAGGCGGCACAGTCCTCAAAGAATTAGCCGCTAATTAGTGTGACTTATTTTCTTATCGTATTTTCTGGTTTTATTGTGTTTGCTTGTGTCTCCGTCTACACCGTATATGAAAGAGCCTTTTATACAGGGCGGGAAAGCGGTTTATTATTTTGCCTTCATTAACCAGCGCTGCCGTGTTTGTGTTTCTCGGTGGCTCCCCGGAAAGTTAAACAACAGCGACAGCGTTACCGGTGACTAGACAAACAGCTGAATGAAACGGGCCGTGTAGAATACCCTTACCCTATACCCCACCCTATACCCGACAGCTCCCCTTCTAGACATGCTGAAGACGATCATATTCAAACCTCTGGGGGGTGTGAGGACCATGAGAAAGGCTTTGAGACCCCAGACCAAAGCAGAGATCCTTCCGCATTGATATGTGTGCGTGTTGTGCATGTCTCACATCACAAAAAAACACCACAATGGCATCCAAGCTTAAGCTTAAGCTCTCGCCTCATTAAACCCCATCATAAGGCATGACACTCAGTCGGTTTCGCCACCTTTGTGACCGCTGCCGGTGTCGCTGCCCCTCAGAGGATCCAGACGGGTCACTGGTAAGCACTCCGCCTAACGAGCGGGCATTTTCACTGCTCGGATTCCATTTATTACCGAAGGCACCCGTTAATCCGGGTTTTCCATTTTAGCGGCCTGTGACCGATACTGGGAGGAGTCTACCAGGAGATGCTTAATTAAGCCATAAGAGGCCCCAGTCCAGATTTTGCTCCTGCATTTGATGAGCAGATTCACATGCCCAGTGGAGCTGCCGTGTCACTTTTATGGATGACAGAATAAAACCTGGTCAAGCTCACCAGGATTTAACTCTGCAACCTCGATCAAAAAACTATTCTTTAACAGTTTAAGATTTAAAAAGACAAACTTTAAAGTGACAGTGACGTTACGCTGGCGATGCCTCT